AAAGTAAAGAGAAAAAACAGAACTTTTATGTAGGCAATATCCACTGAAGAGAAACTATGCAGAAAGGGTAGCTGGAGAGTGTCAGATTCAAAGCCATTCACTGAACACTAGGAAAGGGATGGCTGGGGCATTAGGAAACAGGAAAACAGAGAAGGAGGGAGGCTGTACCTCCTAAACACAACTGAAATATACCACGTGTCTAGTATCATTTTTGGTTTCAAAAGTTTTCACTGATTTGCTCTCCCAGAAGTATATTTCTCACCTGGGCCTCCATTACTCCTCTCTACTTAACTAATTGCAATGGGGAGTAGGGACTGAAGATGAGAACAAAGAGCTACACCTTTCAAGCATTGGGGGTATGCTTAGCTAAACAGAACAGGTATGACATTTCCTTCACGAACAAGACATTAGCTGGTTTGACTAACAAAACACAAATGCTTTTGAGTCGATTCTGACTCATGGCGATCCTGTGTGTGTTAGAATAAACTGCTTCTAATGCCTGGTTTTTTGGAAGTTGATTGCCAGGCCTTTCTTCTGAGGTGCCTATGGGTGGACTCAAACCTCCAACCTTTCAGTTAGCAGTTGAGCATTTGTACCACCCCGGGGCTCCTGATTAAAAATAAACCACCATAATACATACATATAAATAGTGCATAAATACTTAGAAACCTTGTTAATAAACTGGTTTATGGCTATTTTTGGTCTTAAATACAATTTTAGTTTTCCTCAAATAAGAGTTTTGTTTTATTGGAAAACTGGTATAGAGTCTGATACTGTAGAGGATCAGAACACACATACTACCATGCAGCTGCAAGTTTTTTCTGGAGACTTTAATATTTATCATGATTCCAGGTAGTAAAACATAGGCTTGCTTTACATCAGAATGATTCTGTGGGGATTTAAATATATATTTTCTTACAATGGATAGAGGAGTTCAGTGGAAAAACACAAGTGTTGACTGGAGCAAGGAGTAAATCCTGGTGGTTAAGGGGGCAGAGGATTTTTAGGTTATCTCTGTGAGAAGATTTTGTAAATTTACACCTTACACCCAGGTTCTTTATCCATAAGAAGGAAAGTTGAAGTATAAAGTGATTTCACTTTAATTTATTTACTTAAAACAAGGTAGATCAGGGAGCAGAAGAAATATGGAAGGGGTAGGGTATGACTAGTTAACAGTGAAGACGCTAAGTATTTCCATTAGGTAAGAAGGTAAATGGGAACTAGGAATCCGTGGGAGTGATACTTAGAATTGACACAGATACCCTGGGACCGTAGCCACAGTAATATCTCACTGACTTATACCCTTTTGCATTGGTTTATTGTGGCTTGTGCTTGTGGGCAAATGCAGCTCACAACTGATTACGTGGAAATAGCATGCTGGGCAGAATTCATCTCTTATTCCACCCTGGTTTATCACTTTTGACAGGGAGGAACACACATGTAGGCTGGACAAGTAACTTTTAAGCTTAAACCTAAATAGTTTGCAGTTAGGCATCTGTCTTTTTTTTCCCTCCTGTCTTTCTTAATATATTTAGAGACTGGAGAAGTGATAGCTGTTTCTTGGTGGTCTATTGGGAAGATTGCTAATCATGCAAGTCCTGGTTTCCCTCCATGATGTCTAGCTCAGTCATTTATGAGTTGTGTGCCTCTGGGTTAAATACCTTAGATGTAACATTCATCGCATATAAAATGAGGATTATATCACCTTGTTCACAGGGCTGCTGGGAGGATAAAATTAAATTTACTTGTAACATTACTATACCAGTGAATGGTATATAAACCCCCATAAAACTTATCACCTTTGAGTTGATTCCAACTCCTAGCAACCCTATAGGACAGAGTAGAACTGAAGTGTAGGATTTGCAAGGAGCTGGCTGGTAGATTTGAACTGCTGACTTTCTGGTTAGCAGCCAAACACTTAACCACTGCACCACCAGGGCTCTAGAATGGTATATATTATGAAATGATTGTTTTCACCCACTTCTGTAGATTTGGAGTGGGGAGGGGTCTTTGAATGGTTGATGAAATCTCATTTCCATTACCATTGCTTCCTCTAACTCCTACTCTCTCTTGTTTTATCCCCTCCTCCTTCTCCTCTATCATTATGATCATCATCACCACACAATTTACTGAAGACCTACAACGTTATGTACTGTCCTAAGAGTTTTCCATGCATTAGCTCATTTAATCCTCATAACATTATGTGGTATGTACCATAATTATCCTCATTTAACAGAGTTAAAACATGAGGCTTCAAGGTTAATATAACTTCCTAGAGGTAATAGCAAGGAAGGGTAAGAGCTGGAACTAAATGCTGGTTATCTAACTGCAAACCCTGTTAGTCTAAAAAATGTCAGATGATCTGCTATTTAGTTCAGAATTTCTGTAACCCTTTGCAGCTTTTAATATTATGGGATTATGAACACTTTTGAATCATATGGCATTTCTGCACTGTCACAGGTAAATATGCAGAGACACAATATTCTGCATATAGTTTCCGGAAATTTATGGATCCTGGAAGTCTGTCAGAAGAGCTTGTACAGCAAACCAAGTCGCTAGTGGGCAAAGACTGCTCCATTTATCTTGAAATCTCAGCATCCAGCACAGGAACTGGGGGAGAGATAACCCATGTTGCAGAAACTTGGAATAGCTCCAGAGTACTTGCCTGAGGATATTTTGTTTTTGTTTTCTCTTTTAACCCTCCTGAAATTTTATTAAGCTATATTATTATTATATCACATACTTTAAACGATATACTTGATATCCCATACTACAATTTTATATCTTAGTACCTCTTTTTTATTCTCCTTTAAATGGATGTTTAGCGGAATTGTAGCATCACCTTTGCATAACCTTCATTAATGTCTATTAATACAAATGCCTGGAAAAAATACTTTCAGTTTACATTGAGCCAGGTAGATTCTAGTCAATAATTCTCTGCTGCATAAGTAATCAAAACCTGAAAATGATATGCCTTCCTCATGTGACTTAGGAATGGACAGGATATATCAAAATATATTTACCCTGCAGAACTTTTCCAGTGCCTGAGCTTGATGTTCTTGTTAATGACTTAAACCTCGAGGTGAGGTGAGGCAGATACTTGCCATCTGTTATGTGACCATGGTGGGAATTACTGGATGCTGTAAGAATGGGGCTCATAAAAATCCATGAAATGTTACCTTTAAAGGAATATGATGTTTGGGAAGAGAGAGGAAGGTGTAATATGCATTCTCACATCTTCAGGGTTCATCAGGCTTAAAGGCATTCTTAAGAACAGAAGCACTGGCTTTCATCCTACTTGACTGACAAACCAAAAAGTGTATAAAAGTGGAAATAGAGAAAATATAACATGATATGGATTTTATTTCTGAAAATTATGTCTAAGTTCTTTAACAGCTGTGTCAATATGACCTATGCTTTTAAGTGAATTATAAATGACTGGTGAATGACTGAAATAAATGGGACCACAAAAATGTGTTTTATATTATTACCTACAGATTGCCTATCACTCATCATAAATGGTAGGTCTTCTGTTTTCTGACCCTGCTTTAAAGGTGGACCACATCAAAGCAGATAATAAATCATTGCTGGCTATAGTATATTTGTTCTCATATAGGAACATCCTGAAAAAAATCTCACCTTTATGTAAATAAATTAGGGTATTTGTCCTAAGTGCTGCGTCTTATTAGTAGCAAAGTTAGGAAAGAGTGGAATGATCTCATTTATCCTCTTTATTTTAATATTTTTTTCTTATTCTCTGGAAAGAATACTCTCTGAGAAGCGAGTAAGAGTATTTCCCTTCGGGCTCCTTCACTGAAGTTTAAGCATGCTTAGTAGTGAAATAATGCCAATGACCTTTCATCTCCTCATATTTTATGGGGCCAGATCTGCTCACTTTTTTGATTTCCTTTTTAACTCTTAAAATCCAGGGCTATGTGGTCACTCATTTCCAGCAGTCAAAAAAAATCAATATTTTTGCACAATGATTTTATTTTAATTAACATGCTTTTTTTCATAATGTTCTTCTCACTCGAAAGATACACAATGTATATTCTTACTTGGTATTGATGTGGAAAGGAGCCCTGGTAGCTCAGTGGTTAAGCGCTCAGCTGCTAATGGAAAGATCAGTGGTTTGAACTCACCTGCCCATCCTCAGGAGAAAGATGTGGCAGTCTGCTTCCTTAAAGATTACAGCCTTGGAAACCCAGTGGGGCAGTTTTACTATGTCCTATAGGGTCACTATGTGTCAGAATCGACTCGATGGCAATGAGTTATCGATGTAAAAATATCTCCAATTTATTTAGAAAATATGACAATATATCTTTTATCACTAATTTATATTAACTTTTAGTTGTGACAGAATTATATTGCCCTTAAGTAACATTTCATATATCTCCTGCATAAAATAATAAACATTTGATTTCTCAGGTGAGATGTTACAATGGACTTCAATGAATTATAGAATTACACAGCAGTTTTGATAAAAGTATGATTTCAAGTATACATTATCAGCTCTTATCCAGCATAAATTCTCCAGGGGGAGAAGAAAGAAAAATTTTTAAAAGTCAATCTAAAGTTTAATAAATCAAGTTTTAAATACATAACTAGATCATGCAAATAAGAAGGCTGTTATGAAGTAATGGGAAAGGAAGACTACAATTTTTTAAGTTAATAACAGATTGTATAGGGATTCCTTATTATAGAACCCAATAATTTATATAGAAGAGATTATTAAATACTTACAGATAATGCTTGAAATTTTATTCTTTATTTATTTAACATTTATGTAGAATAAACCTGAGTCCATTATACATTAATTTTTTTTAAAAATGTACCAACAAATACCAGCATTCTTCCTGTCCCCAAACTAGTAACAGAAATTCAATTATTTTGTGGGCAGTACTTGCTATTATTTAGAATTTCAACTTTTAATGTTTTATTGTCTACAGGTTAAGTTACTGGTTTATATTACATATAATACTTGAATGGAAATGGAGTACCTGAGCAGCTGGACTCATCAAGTTGGAAATCATGGCAGTTGGCAAAACCATCACAGCGCTGGTGAGCTGGAATACAGCTGTTAGAGGAGGTGCATGTCAGAGCTCCATTAGTACAGCTCTCATTGGCTGAAGGAAATAATGATTGTAGTTAAAAGCATGTCTTTTTTTTCAGTGAACTTCTAATGAAATAATAATACAGTTTATTGTATTATTCTTCATTTATTCTAGTCGTATGCTTAAAAGGACTTCGAGTATATCCCACTTGAATTTAGAGACCATCTCAAGAATAGATTTAATGCGTTGAACACTAATGACCAAAGACCAGACGAGTTGTGCAGTGACATCAAGGACATCATACATGAAGAAAGCAAAAGGTCATTAAAAAGACAGGAAAGAAAGAAAAGACCAAAATGGATGTCAGAAGAGACTCTGAAACTTGCTCTTGAATGTCAAGTAGCTAATGCAAAAGGAAGAAATGATGAAGTAGTAAAAGAACTGAACAGAAGATTTCAATGGGCGGCTCGAGAAGACAAAATAAAGTATTATCATGACATGTGCAAAGACCTGGAGATAGATAACCAAAAAGGAAGAACATGCTTGACATTTCTCAAGCTGAAAGAACTGAAGGAAAAGTCAAGCCAAGAGTTGCAATAGTGAAGGATTCTATGGGGAAAATATTGAACGACCCAGGAAGCATCAAAAGAAAATGGAAGGAATACACAGAGTCATTATACCAAAAAGAATTGGTTGACGTTCAACCAATTCGGGAGGTAGCATATGATTGGAACTAATGGTACTGAAGGAAGAAGTCCAAGCTGCACTGAAGGCATTGGTGAAAAACAAGGCTCCAGGAATTGATGGAATATCAATTGAGATGTTTCAACAAACAGATGCAGCACTGGGAGTGCTCACTCATCTATGTCAAGAAATTTGGAAGACAGGTACCTGACCAACCGACTAGAGATCTATATTTATGCCTATTCCCAAGAAAGGTGATCCAATAGAATGAGGAAATTATTGAACAATATCATCAATATCACACGTAAGTAAAATTTTGCTGAAGATCATTCAAAAGCGGCAGCAGCAGTATAACAACAGGGAACTGCCAGAAATTAAGACCAGATTCAGAAGAGGATGTGGAACCAGGGATATCATTGGTGATGTTGGATGGATCCTGGCTGAAAGCAGAGAATGCCAGAAAGATGTTTATCTGTGTTTTATTGGCTATGCAAAGACATTTAACTGTGTGGATCATAACAAATTATGGATAACACTTTGAAAAATGAGAATTCCAGAACACTTAATTGTGCTCATGAGGAACCTGTACACAGATCAAGAGGCAGTCACTTGGACAGAACAAGGGGATTCTGCGTGGTTTAAAGTCAGGAAAGGTGTACATCAGGGTTGTATCCTTTCACCATACCTATTCAATCTGTATGCTGAGCAAATAATCCAAGAAACTGGACTATATGAAGAAGAACGGGGCATCAGGATTGGAGGAAGACTCATTAACAACCTGTGTTAAGCAGACAACACAACCTTGCTTGCTGAAAGTGAAGAGGACTTGAAGCACTTACTGATGAATATCAAAGGCCACAGCCTTCAGTATGGATTATACCTCAACATAAAGAAAACAAATATCTTCACTACTGGACCAAAAAGAGGAAGACCATCAACGAGATGGACTGACACAGTGGCTGCAACGATGAGCTCAAGTGTAACAATGATTGTGAGCATGGCGCAGGACCGGGCAGGTTTTGTTCTGTAGTACATAGGGTCGCTATGAGTCAGAACCGACTCGAAGGCACCTAATAACAACAATGCTTAAAAAACAGTTCTTTTTGAAGAAAACTTCAACTTAATGGAAGTGTTCCATTAAGTTGAAAATTTCTTCAAAGAGAAGTTTGTCAATAGAATCATTTCCTAGATATGCATTATGTAGTATTATACATGTACTACAATGCATTGTATGTACTATGCAGTCAGAATTGATTTTAGACTGGGGTCGACTTTTACTTCAAGGAGAGCTCTCCGTGCTTCTGTTGCCTCCTTAATCATTCTCATCTTATGTACAATTGAATGGATGGGAAGTGCAAATCATTTGAATATTCATCAATTTCCAACCGGGGTACAGGTAGGTCGTGGGTAGTCACCGGGTATCTGTTATGTCTGGGTAATGATGTGATCACTGCAGCTCAATGTACTATGATTATGTGCCGTTACGACATTGTGGTAATGCATGATGTAGGTATATTAGTAATCCCAGTATCCTGTTGGGGGCCACAAGCAGGGTTTAGCCTAACTTCAAGGGACTGGCATATTAATCAAATAGAGATGCCGTTGCTCGTAAGACCGGTTGTTTCACATTTTCAAGAAAATGTCTATATATCCCATCAGGAACACTGACAACTGTTCAATAGCTATCTAGTCTTGCAGAGAACTCTACCTCCCTTGCATGCTAAACAACCAAAACCAAATCCCTTGCTGTCAAGTCGAATCTGACTTATGACAACCCCATGTGTTACAGAGTAGAACTGCTCCATAGGGTTTTCTTGGCTGTAATCTTTGTAGAATCAGATTTCAGGTCTTTCTTCTTCGTGCTTTGGGTGGGTTTGAACTGCCAACCTTTAGGTTAGCAGCTGATCGATCACTCCTTGGGCTACCCTTGCACAGTGCTGTTGATTAATGCAATTATATCAGCTTTATCCATTGGGAAGCTCAATTACTAATCATAAAACCCTATATTTGTGTTCTTCCCTCCTGTTTTCCAGTCCTTTCAGGATCACAGCTTTGTATAAACCAAGAGTGTGTTTTAGACTTCTTTTATGAGTAAGGACCTTACCAGAACCCCTTGTTTCAGGCCACCATCATTTTGAAGCACATTTAGTTTCTGCCTTCCTGTTTGCTTTAGGACATGAAGCTTGTGCTTCCTTCAGGCCTGCTGCTTCAGACTTGATCTCTATTCTGTGCTTTTATTCTGATTTTAGCCCGTGCAGATGTTTATCTTGTCTCTTAGCTTTTTTATGTGATAGCTATTCTATCTATCACTGTTATTTTGGAGCTGAGGGACTCTGTCAAAGTATGAACCCACTGCACTGTCTTGTCAGGAAGTCTGGATAGATTTTGCAAAGCACTAAATAATAACAGTATTGATCAGCACTGTAATTCTAACTCTATACCTCTGAGTCCTAGGGTTTGGCAGAGGTAATGTTAAAAGCCCTAGTAGGCTGTCAGTGCCTTCTGGCACTTAATCCAGGTTCATATGCACAGCTCTGCTTTCATCTGATTTGTTTAATGGTGTCATATACAGTATCTTATTTGAACATTTTACTCCGATCCTGCTGCTAAAAATTTGAAAAGTATTAATCTGGGCAATTACTTGTACTAAATAAAGACAATTAGATCTCAACCTTTTCAGGGAAAAGTGACAATTTAGAAGACCCAGGGATAAACATTTCCATATGTGTGTAGATTTTTCTAGTACATCAGAAATTATTCTTTTCTTCAAATATAATTAGGTTAGAAGGAACTCTTTATTTGAAGTATCACAGGTTACTGGCACAATTTAGTTTGAGAACTGCCTAACAAAATATGTTTTAAAGTGAGACATAAAAATGATATTTTTTTTACTGTGCTTTAGATGAAGGTTTACAGAGCAAATTAGTTTCTCATTAAACAATTAATACACATATTATTTTGTGACACTGGTTTCCAACACTACGATGTCTTAACACTCTCCCCTTCTCGATCTTGGGTTCCCCATTACCAGCTTTCCTGTCTCCTCCTGCCTTCTCATCCGTGCCCCTAGGTTGGTGTGCCCATTTAGCCTCATTTTGTTTTATGGGCCAGTCTAACCTTTGGCTGAAGGGTAAATCTCAGGAGTAACTTCGGTACTGAGGTATAAGGGTGTCCAGGGGCCATACTCTCAGGGTTTCTCCAGTCTCTCTCAGACCAGTAAGTCTGGTCTTTTGTGCGTGTGTGTGAGTTACAATTTTGTTCTACATTTTTCTCCAGCTCTGTCTGGGACTGTCTATTGTGATCCCTGTCAGAGCAGTCAGTTGTGGTAGCTGAGCATCATCTAGTTGTGCTAGACTCAGTCTGGTGGAGGCTGTGGTAGTTGTGGTCCATTAGTCCTTTGGACTAATTGTCCATTGTGTCTTTAGTTTTCTTCATTCTCACTAGCTCCAGATGAGTTGGGACCAGTGGAGTATCTTAGATGGCCGCTCACAAGATTTTAAGATCCAGATGCTACTCATCAAAGTAGGATGCAGAACATTTTCTTTATAAATTACGTAATGCCAATTAAGTTAGATGTCCCCCAAGACCATGGTCCCCAGTCTTCAGCCCAGTAATTCCATCCCTCAGGGAGTTTGGATGTGTCTATGAAGATTCCATGACCTTATCTTGGTCAAGCTGTGATGACTTCCCCAGTATTGTGCACTGTCTTACCCTTTACCAAAGTTACTACTTATCTCTTGTTTAGTTAGTGTTTTTCCCTACTCAGCTTTCCCCTCCCCTCCCTATAACCATCAAAAATTGTTTCTTTCTTTCTGTAAACCCTTTCATGAATTTTTATAATAGTGGTCTCATACAATATTTGTCCTTTTGTAATCGACTTATTTCACTCAGCATAATGCCCTCCAGACTCATCCATGTTGTGAGATATTTCTCAGATTCCATCATTGTTCTTTATTGTTGTGTAGTATTCCATTGTGTGTATGTACCATAGTTTGTTTATCCATTCATCTTTTGATGGGCACTTAGGTTGTTTCCATCTTTTTGCTATTGTGAATAATGCTGCAGTGAATATGTCTATAAGTGAGATGGCTCTTATTTCTCTAGGCTATATTCCTAGGAGTGGGATTGCTGGATTGTATGATATCTCTATTTCTAGATTTCTAAGGAAGCACCATATCGTTTTCCAAAATGGTTGTACCATTTTGCATTCCTACCAGTAGTGCATAAGAGTTCCAATCTCCCTGCAGCCTCTCCAACATTTGTTATTTTCTGTTTCTTTGATTCGTGCCAGTAATGTCAGGGTGAGGTAGTATCTCACTGTGGTTTTGATTTGCATTTCTCTAATTGCTAGTGATCACGAGTATTTCCTCATGTGTCTGTTAGCCATC